GGAAAACGAGGCCTGAGGTCTTCGGAGGCTTCTGAAGCCATCATCGGCGTCGCGTCGTCGGCGTCGCCGTCGCGGTGGAAGGGACGGAGAAGGAGGAAGAGGAGGAGGAGAAAGGGAAGAGGAGGAATAGGAGTAGAAGGACAAGGAGGAGGATGGAGGAGCCTGAGAGGGTGAGAAGAAGAAAAGGAGGAGGAGGAGGAGGAGGAGAAACGAATCGCAACCGTGCTGAAGGCTCTGAGGAGCCCGACACTTATCGGCGGTGCCGTGTCCTCTTTGGACTCCTCGTTGGCTTCCTCTTTCGAGGGATGGCCCTGGTGGCGGCCATGGCCCGGGACGGAACTCGACAGGCTGGCCAGGCCCGGCGCCGGGTGGGGGCCGTCTGACCCCTTCCGCGCGGAGGTTGGTCCACGCCGGCGCGACGCGTCAGGCAGCGTCCGCCACGCACCCACAAAGGTCTTCGGGACGAACGTTGACGCCTCTCTGCTCAGGGGCGCGTGCTCGGTGGCAGATGGCAGGTCTCCCGGCTGCCCATCTGAATGCGCCTCCTCCGCGTCGCCGCCCGCGTCGCTCTGGTGCAGCTCGTGGAGCCCGTCGAGGAAGGGCGCGCCCTCTTCCAATTCGACCCTGGAGGCTATCGGACGCGAGCAGGAGGCTGCTGGACCCAATCATGCACGGAGGCTGGTCAACGCCAGCGGTCTCCCCTCAACCGAGGACACTAGAGCCCCGCCTCATGCCTCGCGAGCCGTCAGGGAGCGACTGGACGACTGGAGACCAGACATCGGACATCGGATTCGCCGTAGTGAGGCGCGAGGAGGAGGAGGAGGAGGAGGAGGAGGAGGAGGAGGAGGAGGAGAAGTACAAGGAGGAAATGGAGAAGAAGGAGGAGGCGGGCGTGAACGGCCATCACTCTCTGAACTGGGTCCTTGTAAGTGCTGTGGCAACTCCTGGGAGCCTCCCATACCAACTTGTTGGCTCGTGCGAATCGACGCCGATCGACGCTAAGCTATACGAGTCGACGCTAAATCGAGGCGAACCGACGCTATTCGACGCAAAATCAGAGCTATCCCACCGATTGTCCGACGCTAATCGACGCCAGCGTACCCTAAAGAGGGGATTGAGATGGAATACAAGGCTCCCATGATTTGCTATCCCACGTAAGTGCCCCAGTCGGCCCTGGGGAACTTGTCGGGAGCTGCGTGGGCTGCGCGATGAAGCCAACACGACGGCGGACGTCTCGTGATGAGGAGGCGAAGGAGGAGGGGAAACATTCTGGCGCCCATCGGGCTCCAGAGGCCTCGCGAGAGTTCCGAGGGGAGCGGAAGGGGGAAGCGGGGAGAGGCGGGGGGCAGGAGGGGGGGGGGGAAATGGGGAGAGGAGGGAGGAAGGGGAAAGGGAGGGGAAGGGAGAGCACGGAGGAAGAAGGGAAGGGGGACGGGGAGGGAGGAGGAGGCTCGGATGTCGTTCGCCCCTGCGGAGCAAATTTCCATTGCCGCTCTCGGTTGTCGGTTGCACCATCGCCGATCCTTTTCTTCTCCGTCTGTCTGTCTTCCTCCGTATGCTCTCAAACGTCCTCGCATCGTAGGAAATCCACGATAGCTAAGACTTTGCCAGCAGACCTCGTGCAGCCGAATACGTTTGCCAGCGGCCGTGTGCGAGATAGGGTTTGTTCTCGCCCAGCTGCTGCAATTCAGGGACAAGGATGCGATGGATCTGCTAGCCGCTCCAGTCCAGGCTCTGAGGCTACGGAGCCTGTGCCAGACACCGCTGGGCAGCAGGACTTGCATGACCCCACCCCATGCCATTGGGGGGCCTGTCCCAACCGGCCCCCCCTCTCAGCCCCTCGGCCGCAGACAGCAGGGCGGACACAACACAAGGGCGTCTGGCTTCCAGCTCTCCCGCCTCAGGATGCAGCATGGTACGTTGTGCATTGCCCGTGCTGCCGCCGCTCAGAGAGGTGTTGACTCGGCTGGCTCCGCTACCTCTGGAAGCTCTATCCTTGAGCACGCTCGTGGCCACGAGCCTCCTCGAACCTGGAGCGAAGCTCGGCCTGGAGACCTGCCCGCCGAGAGACGGCCAGTGACACGGCCTCCATTTGCATACGGACGGCTCGCTGTTCAGGGAAGGGGAGGGGAGGGGAGCATGGGCAGTGATTGTCACAGGGGAGGACGAGGGAGGGAAGTCTGCGATTGGAGCGCTCAGGGACGATATAGTGAGCACTACCACAGAGCGAGTAGGTTTAACGCAAGCCCTACTCTGGCTGATAGGTCACCATCCGCGGTGCAAGGTGACCATCTCCACCAACTCTATGCTGGCGCTTGGCGCTGCAGCTGGCTCCTCGGCCCCTGCGGTGGATCGACACCTCGCCCCCTTCCTCGAAACAGCGTCCGTTTTGATAAGGTCCCAGGTCCACGTTGACCTCCGACACGTTAAGGCCCACCGAGGCCATGCCTAGAACACCTCGGCGGATCACGTTGCCAAGGCCACCGCTTTTAACAAGTTACCTCCTCCTGATGTCCCGCATGAGAGGCTAACCAACGCCTGCAAGTATCAGCGTAGTAGACAGTGGGAGTGGCTGCTCGCGAGAGGACCTGACGCCTACGCCTACCCACCCCTCGTCTTCTCAAGGGGGTCGGGGGTTCTAGAAGGACCGATGCCCTCCTGTGGTGTTCGGACAGCGGATGTCGACAGGCTTCAGGAAAAGCCCCCTATCGCTGAGCTTCAGATCCAAGTGCAGCTCAGAGTTGCCACTTACAGCCCACAGAGCGCCCGTGAGGAGCACCGCAGGGGCTCGCGCGCGAGCACGAGGAATTATATACTCAATTTGGTCAAAGAACAATTCCATGATCTCGGCGTGGCCCTAGGGGGCACCCAGGAAAGTAGGAACGAACGTCAGTTGAACGTGGCCTCAGGGAAGGTCCACCTTCGGTTCTCCTCTGGCCACGAAGGCCATAACCTCGGGGCGGAGCTATGGGTCGACTTGCGCGTCCCATGCGGGAAAGTCAAAGGGAAACCTGGTTTCTTCCGAGCGAAGCAGTTCGTTGTTCTGCACGCAGAGCCCAGACTATAGATTGTAAAATGCACCACCCTTGGAGTGATGTGCAAAATATGCGTGGCCCACGCCCCACACCGACGGCACCCCCTCGGTGTGCGCGAAGGCTTCTGGAGAGATCGCGGTGCCCCGGCCGAGAGGTGGCCCTTTGGTATTATTATTGCTGATGGTAATTGCGCCTTGGGCTCGATCACCCCCTCCGTGGTGGGGGGGCGGGCTACGTGGAAGAACGGGGCGAGAGCGGAGAGCTCGTGCGCGCGTTCTTGCTTGAGCACAAGCTCGCTGCCGTTAACACTCTTACTGCCGAGGGTGGGGGAAGCACCTTCGCATCCGCAGGCCTGGGGCCAAGCTGTATGGACTACGCGCTCTTAGCCAAATCTTGCGCTTCGTATGTAGCAAGCACCGAAGTCCTCCACGGACTTGAAGTGCTACGAAGATTATTGTCCTGCCTTGGCCCTTTTGAAGTGGTCACAGACCTCCTCGGTTGCCAAAGCGGGTTCGCCTCAGTTAGACGTCAGAAACTAGCCGACCCCCAATGCATCCGTGAGTTCAGTTTGCCACGGAGGGTTTCTGTCTTGACCCGCGGGGGACTAACGTCAACGCCCAACTTGAAAGATCGGCCAAGTTCATTAACGAGCAAGCCGCCCGTTGTTTTGCCAGGGAGGCTGTGAAGGCCAGGCGGCCATGCGCGTCGGCCCCCTTGTTTGCTTTGGTTCGCATCCGTAAAGCGTTCGCAAACTGTAGTATCATGTGAGGCGTAAGGGCATTGACTCCCAGGTTCAACGTATGTTCTCCATTGCGCAGCGCGGTCGGACAGGAGACTTAGCCAAGCAGGCTCACGAAGTGCTGCGTCGCGAAGAGGATCCTGTCCTCGCTCAGCGCCTGCTCGGACCGCGGATGTAATGGCGAACTGCCGCCCAGGGCTACACCTGGAAGCGCATCGAGCCGCCGGGATGTCCCCCGGCGCCGGCCCGCTTCCTTGGCCACTTCGTCACAGGCGAAGACGGACAGAATTCAGAAAGACTACTGCGATTTTCTTTTAACTTGCAGGGGGAAGGGATCAAAACGGCCACCGACGGATAGGGAGCCCGATCTCTGCTGGCCCTTGGCGGTAAGAAGCCCAAAAAGGTTGTCCTTTTTTCCCCCTTCGCAAGGGCGCGGACGGCAACGTCCAAGAGACGGTTCAAGACGCAGCCAATGATCTGCAGAAGCACTTCGGTAATACTGAATTTGCGTTGCCCCTTTAGGCCAGTGAGGTCTGAAAATGCTATGAGGAGGGTTCAGCGCTTGACGCCAATCCCCCTCGAAACTTCGATAACCATATCACCTCCCCCCCCGAAAAAATTCAAAAAAACGCCCATCAAGACCATGCCTGCGGGCAGTGCCGCGGGACCTGGGGGTGCCCCGTGCGAGATTCTCAAGGAAGCCCCCCGATGCCTGCACCAGAATCCTTCACCCCGTCCCGCTTACAGTGGGTCTTGCTTGGCGGGAGCCGCTTCTTTTCAAGGAAAGCGAGGTGATTGACATTTCGAATGGTGAACCTAAAGCCGTCTTCGCATCTAGTCGTCGCAGTATTCTCCTCGGGGACGCTTTTTGCAAGCTGAAACACAGGTTCCTGCGCGGTCTCCTCAATGCAGCCATTGCCGCGGGTTTGCAAGACTCGCAATGTGGGGGGGGAGCGCGGATTTCGTCGCCCACTTTGTGGCCGCCGTGCTGCGTGCCCAGTTTGCTGACAAGACATCGGCCTTCGCCTTGGGCATAGACTCCGATGCAGCTTCCCAAGCAGTGATCCGGCAGGCCGCGACGTCTCTCCCTGCGGAGGGGGCTGATTTTCAGACGGGGATGGCCAGCCTCGCAGTTCATCCTGGTCTCGACTATGCCATGCGGAACCTCGCCTCCGCCCAGGTAACCCCATGCTCACGAGAATAAACACTAGGGGATAATAAAGTTCGGGGTTCAGGGGGAGATAATCAAAGTAGCCCATATTGATTCCTTGGTCGCAGGCAAGCACCAATATGCGGTCTTCGCCGAAACTCAGACCTGGGGATTTGGGAGGTCGCGGGGGGCCGAAGGTTTCACGCGGCCCATGCGGGGCTGCAAGCCTGGCACCGTCACGGCCACGGACGTTTTTAACCTCGGCGTCGCTCCCATTCTGGTTAGAGTCCAGAGTAAGATAACTGATGATCATCTGGGTTGGAGGCCGCCAGCTGACATACCTTGCGTTTTTCCTCGGGATAGCGATTACGATGAAGCCACTGGACATGGGAGCCTTTGTGGACCACTTCACGATAGTCGGCGTCTCTCCTACCCCCGCGCTCCTGCAGGAGTACGCTGCCGCTGCTGCTGTCGTAGTCGAGCGCGCGGTATTTGAGGCGGGCTTGCGACTCAACGTGAGCAAGGCCTTCTTTTTGCTCCGACCCGCAGGACCTGGCGTCAAGACCGTTGAGAAGTTAGTGTGGGCCCGTGGGGCCACGGTTGCGCTTCCCTCTGGGGATGTCATTTGCGCTCAGAGAACCGTGAACTGTCTTGGGACACTCCTCAGTGAGAAGGGTTCGTTTGACGCCGAAGTTTCTAATAGGACGGCTCGCACTCGAGCCAGAATCAGACCTGTTCAAAGGGCCCTTGGGATCGCGAGGCCATCCCTGTGTAAAAAGTCCAGTACAGCGAAGCATATGCCTTATCGCCCATGTACTTCAGTATTGCTGCGTGGTCGTCATTGTCGAGTCGTGCCATGAAAAAGTTGAGGAATGTTCAAATCTATGTGTGTAAGGGGGCTCTTGGAATGTCTCTGGGTAGCTACGGCGACGTTCATGTCAATCACCCGGAGGTCTTGCACATGGCCAATCGTGGTGACGTTGGCAGGTCATGCAGGTTGCGCGATTAAAATACCTCACTAGGTTGGTGGCGCGCGCCCCGCCAGGTCTGCTGACGGCCCTGGATGTCCTTCTAGCCAAAGGTGAAGGCTGGCCTGCGATGCTTTTCAAGACGTGCAGTGGCTTGGCCGGTACAATAAGAAGAAGGAGATTCCTGGACAGGGAACCCGTGCATGTTGGATCAACGTGCGCCGCCAGAGGCCCAGGTCCTTCAGAACCCATGCCAGAAACGTTGCCTCTCGGCCTTTATGGGGGGCAGCACCAGGGCGAGGAAGAGAGAAGCTGCACCAAGTTAATCGAGACAATGCTCTTGGGGTCGCCATGGGAAACTAACCAACCAGGTTCTGATGCTGCGGACGGCTTACTACGTTTGCTAGAAATGTGGTTCTCCCACGGACCACAAGAGAACCATGACCATGCATGTGAACCGTGAGCATAAAAGAGACGAGACGGTTGAAGCCTGTGCCTATGGGACCACCTGCCGATCCTGCCTCGAAGATTTTGTACAGCCCAATAGACTGGTCGCCCACCTCCATAGGACTTCCCGTTGTAAGAATAAGTAGTTTCAGTCTGGGCTCCGTGACGAGAATGATAGAGGAAAAAGAACTATGCACATGCACCGATTCTGGCCACGCCGATCCTGAGCCCAAGATCGGTGCATACTCCCTCCTACCTTGGCCAGGAAGGCATATGCACCGATCCTGGGTCAAGGGATGGGCCTTGCCAGGATCGGTGCATGTGCATAGTTCCCTTCGCCCGAAATGAAGATGTGGAGGAATGGCGTCAGCTCGCTCTCTTGGCACAGGCCGAGAATGGAAAGAACATGCTCCCAGCCAATCATGCCTCGGAGCCCGAGAGGAGAGTTTCCGGGCCCTGTCGTCACACGCCGGCCCAGCAGAGGCAGAGTTCCCGCCAGTAATGATGCAACGAAGGATTGCAAAAAACCCGAAGGATTGCAAAAAAAACAGGATTGCAAAAAAAAACGAAGGATTGCAAAAAACCCAGGATTGCAAAAAAAACCGAAGGATTGCAAAACAACCCAGGATTGCAAAAAAAACAGGATTGCAATCCTTCTTTCTCACGCTCCAGTGCGCCGTGTTGTGCCGAACCCAGAGTGCCCTGTCGAGGCAAAATGCACTCTTCTCGTGCTTGGCCAGAGCCCTGCCGCTGACGACCTTGCCCTGCTGGCCGCAATGCGAAGATACGCCGTTCTGGACGCTCCCTTTCGTAAGTGGAACTCGGTGGCCTTGCCGTTGGCCCTCGGTGGAGCTCTCGACCTCATCTGGGTGGCGGGGGGGGCCGCCTGGGCCGACCCCTCTGTCCTAGGGCCCGCGAGACCCAGGGGCATGGTGCGTCCGTTACGGTCCTCTTCTGCGCCCTGGGGGAGGAGGGATCTGTCCGCGACCGAAGCCCAGATCGCTGGGGAGGGGAACCAGCTGCACAAGGCAGCGGGGGTGCTGCATGCTGCCGCCGCTGTTAGGGGGGTGACCTTCACGTTCGAGGCCCGTGCTCCCTTCTTCGTCTTTCCCTTCAGTCTGGGCCCCCTGAAATCTCTGGTCAGGCTCCGCTACCGATGCCAGGCTCATGCCTTGTACGACAGAAGAGGTCCGACTTCATGAGGGCAGTAGTCGGGAGAAGGATATGTTGCTGCAACTGCTTCCTCCTGTCCAGTCTTGTCTGCCAGACTTCCTTAATCAGTTCGTCCGTGGCCCTCCTGAGGAGGCCTGGGGGGAGCCAGACAGGACTTGGTCCTGGGCCTGCCGCGCTTCCTCTCTCCTTCCTTTGTCCCACTGTGCTTAGGTAGGCAGCCATGTCACATGCCTTGAGACTCCGATTCTGATTTCGAGGAGGAGGGCGAGGAGGGCGACGGAGGAGGAAGACGAGGAGGGCGAGTGAGGAGGAAGAGGAGGACGACGACGACGACGAGGGAGGAAGAGGAGGACGAGGACCGAGGGGTGAGGAGAAGAAGGAGGAGGGAGGAGGAGGAGGAGGAGGAGGAGGAGGAGGAGGAGGAGGAGGAGGAGGAGGAGGAGGAGGAGGAGGAGGAGGAGGAGGAGGGGGAGCAGGAGGAGGAGGAGGAGGAAGCCGCCGCCGTTCGTGCGCCGCCGCTCGGTCGCCCTCCGCCGCGGAGGGCCGCCTGGACCCACGTGCTGGCGCGCGACGACGGACAGCGCGCCCCCGCAGGCTCGGGCAGCCCCGGGGGCTCCTCCCGCGCCACAGAGCGGAGGCGCGCCCGCCACTCCTGCAGGCAGGACGCCGACGCAGTCGCCTCGCCGTCGCTCGTCGCCGTCGTGCGCCGCTCACCGCCGTCGCAGGCGCCGTTCCCCACCGTCGTCGTCGGCGGCGCCGCAGTCGTCGTCGAAGTTCGTCGTGGCCGCCGCTCGCAGGCGTCGTCGACGTCCCCAGTCATTCACCGCCGCGCGTTTGTCGTCGTCGTTCGCCATGGTCGCTCGCGTCGTGAGTGGTCGTGGTCGTCGTGGTCGTCGTCGTCGCCGCCGTCGCTTGTCGTCGCCCTCGTCTTCGGAGGAGAAGGGGGAGAGGGGAGGATAGAGCGAAGGTGGAGAGGGAGACGCCTCCTTCTCCCCATCCTCCTCAACAGCATCATGCATATCATGCCACCTCCTCCTCCTCCTCCTCCTCCTCCTCCTCCTCCTCCTCCTCCTCCTCCTCCTCTTCATCCCCCTTCTACTCATCAAGTTCCTATCTCCCCCTGCTCCTTCTAGGCGTCGTCCTGATCCCTTCCCCCCCTTCCTCCCTCCTCCTCATCATTACCATCCTCTTCAGTCATTCCCGCTCTCCACTACTAGACAATTCGAGTGTGACTTCCCTCGTTCCCCGGACTCCGTCTGGAGGATACCGGACCCTCTCCGCAGGGTGTTAAAATATAGGTTATATCTGTTGAACAGGATTTTACAGGTTGTGTGTTTCCTTCTGCACCCGTTTACAATCCGATGTTATTCGGTGTTTCCAAATTCTCCTCCTCCTCCTCCTCCTCCTCCTCCTCCTCTTCCTCCGATGTTATTCGGTGTTTCCAAATTATGTACCCGCTGCAGCGTGGGCCTCGTTTTCGGGTCGGCGCCTGCTCCCGCCGTTCCAAATGGCGCTCTGCCCCCCGCGCGGGCAACTTTTGTGGATCCGTGTCGTTCGTCATTATGGGGCGACGAAATCTATACATATCCACTGCTCCCAGGCCAGGCCCATCCTCAACCCCGCAGCGGTGTATACGCCACGCCCTCCTGGCTTGGCCAGGAGGGCGCATACACAGCTCCTGGGTTGAAGATGGGCATGGTCAGGGAGCAGTGGATATGTATACATTTCGTCGCCCGACATTACCGTCGCCCCCCTCATTTTCCCTCCTCCGCCTTCCCCTGGTCCTCCTGTTCTGTTCCTCCCGCTCCTGCCACTCCAATTCCTACTGCTACGGTTCGTCCTCGCCCTTTCCCACCCCCTCATCCTCCTGCTCACCCGCCACCTCCTGCTCCTGTGCGCGCAGCTCCTCTTGTTCTGATTGCGATAACACGACATGGTCTTCTGGCTGAAGCTGCAGGTCGGCTATGACACGCGCAATGGGGAGGGATGGGAGGGAGGAATAGGATGTCAGATGAGACGCGAGCGTACTCAGCTTGCCATCCACACCTCTCCCTCCTCCTCCTCATTCTCGTCTGTCTCCTCTTGCCGCGCCTCCGCCTCCTCCTTCTCAGACAGCTCGGTGCTTCGGGACTGCAGCTTGGCCGATTGCGCACGCGAGCGTGACGACGGCAACAACGACGATCACAACAAAAAGGCGAACGTCGACGCCGACCCGGTCGCCGAAGCCGCCGCTAGCGACGACAACAAAAACACAGCGAACGACGATGAACGGGGACGATGACGGCGACGGACGGCGACGACGACGACGACGACAAACGACGACGATGACGCCGACGACGACGACGCCGACGCCGACGCCGACGACGACAACGACGGCGGCGGTAACGCCGACGGCGACTGCGACGGCGACAGCCGACGGCGAATGCAATGGCGACCGCGGCGCCCGGGGCTCCAGCGGGGAATCCGGCGGCCATGCCGCCGCCGCCATCGAGCGCGCGGGGGCGGCGGCGTCCCGCGCGGGGACGGCAAGACGCCCGCGGCGCCTCCCCGAGCGCGGGCGGCATCGTGGCCGTAGGCGGCGTCGCCGTCGCCGTCGCCCACCCCGGCCGCCTCGAGCGCGCGCGGGGGCGGCGTCGCCGTCGCCGCCGCCACCGTCGATCGGAGGCATCGGGATGACCGAGGACCCTCGCGTCAACCGCTCCAGACACCCTGCGTGAAATCAGGATCACAGATCACAGAAGCGTCGACTCGGACGCCCATGGTTCAGCCTGTGACGGTCGCGGATAGCACAGAGGCAGGAGGAGGCTGGGAGGGAGGAGACGCGGATTGGAGGCACCTGCACAGAGGCACAAGAAGGATGAGAGATGGAGGAGAGCTAGGCAAGGGGAAGGAAAGATCGAGGTGTCTGGACGTCTCTGACAGCTTGTTCTGCCTCCAAGGGATTCCAGAGACCTCCAGACCTCTGAAAATCTCCCGGAAACATGCCACTGGCTTTTTCTGTGAGGGGGGGGCAAAGGAGAAGCAGCAGGCTGAGGAGGAGGAGGAGGAGGAGGAGCAGGAGGAGAGGAGCAGGACTAAGAGGGGGAGGAGGAGCAGGACCAAGATAGGGAGGGGAAGAATAACAGGAGAACGAGGATGAAGAGCAGATGGGGTGAGGAGAGACAGGAGAAAATGCGGGAGGAGCCCTGGGAGGAGGAGGAGCGTTGTCTGTCGCCGTTTCAGCGAGGGCCGCCGTGCGGACATCCCTCGCGGCAGGGGAGCCCCTCAGCAACAAAAAGCAGAAGGGTGGCACACATATCTCGGCAAGTGCTTTGATCTTCATTCGCGTTGGTTGCGAGTTGGAGCGGGCTAACAAGCAGGTGAGACGGCATCACCTCCCGCGCTCTCGAACCAGAGCCGTTCAGCGCGAGGCACCAGCTAGTCCTGCTTGCACCCGACGGGCAGGCTGCGCATCATCGCCGTTGTGATGCCTTCAGCGTCCGCCGCGCCCGAGGTCACTGTCGTGACCTTTGCCTGGGCACTCCGTGCCTTCTGGCCGCTGCGGGCCCCACGGCCCTCCACGGCAGCCCGTGAGCGCACCGGATGGCGCCCGCGGGCGGGCTCCTGTGGCGCAGAGATGCCATCGGGCGCACTGGCCGCGCCGACTGCCGCAGGGACGCCGCCCACCAGGGGCGGCGCTGGCTGCTCGCCCGTGGGGCACCACTGCGGGGGAATCGCGCCGTCGGTCGTGCGGCAGGTCGCGCGGACGGCGGTGCAGTCGTCGTATTCGCTGCCGGTCTGGCAAAGGATCCACCGTGGTGCCGAAGTCTATGGCTTCAGGCTTCCCGCTCGAGTCGCCGGGCTCCACGACCGATCCAGCCTTCTTGGCGGCACACTGCTTTCCCCAGAATGCCGCTGAGGGCGAAGACTCACGTAACCAACGCAAAATGCTACGAAGGGGCCCGCCCGAGCCACAACGGCTTGAGCCAAAATAAACACGGAGAGGCTTTTGGGGCCGTCTCGAGGCCATCTTGAGCTGTCTGGGCCGACAAGAGCACATCTGGGACCGTCTTGGCGCCCTCCAGGGCCGGATGGAGGCATTGCTGGGCCTTTCTGGGCCCCTCTTGGAGGCCCCCAAAATCCCTGGTCCTGCAATGGGGGTTCCAAGCGCCTGGTTGTGGCCCCCTGGAGCGCATACGCTAGTTAGTGCATATGCATCTGCAGAATTTACATACACACGATGAGATCAGACAAGCCTGACGACGACTGGAACGACGTTGACGACGACAACGATAAAGACGACAAAGACGCCAAAGACGACGACAAAGACAACGACAACGACAAGAACAAACACAATAACAAAGACGACGACGACGGAGACGACGACGCAGACGACGGCGAAGACGGCGAAAACGACGACGAGGACGACGACAAAGACGACGACAAAGACGACGACAAAGATGACGAGAGCAACGCGGACGACAACGACGAAGACGACGGCGACGACGAAGACGGCGGGGACAACAAAGACGACGACGGCGACCACGCCGACGCCGACGATGATGAGAAGAGACTTCCGCCTCCGAATTGGAGGAAGGCGAGGAGGAACAGGACGATTCCGAGGAGGACGAGAAGAAAGGACGACGGGGATGACGAGGTGGAGGACGGCGAGGAGGAGCAGGACGAGGAGGAGCAGGACGAGGAGGGGGGCAGCAAGAGGAGGCATGGGTCTTGCGACGCGGGCACTGGGCGGCACTTCTCTTCGCGATCCTGTCGCCGCGGGTGGGCGGGCGCGGCCGCCGACTCAGCCTGCCCCGGGCCACGCGCGCAGGAACTCCGCATGCTCGCTCCTGGCGATCGTCGCCGTCGTCGCCGTCCATCCAAGATCAAGGTCGTTGTCGTCGTCGTCGATCGAGGATCGAGGTCGATCGAGGATCAAGGATCGACACATCGAAGATCAAAGATCCAGGGTTCGGGCTCTCTTTGGGCTTTCGGGGGTGCCCTTGGAGGCCACGGCCGGAGCCGGATCAGCCTCGATCCGGACCTGAGCGCACCAAGTGACAGGTCTGGGGCACTGCGGATCGAGGGTCGAGGTTTTCGGACGGGTTTGGCCGTTTGGGACCCGGGAGGGGAGGACAGCGAGGGAGGAGGAGGAGGAGGAGGAGGAGGAGGAGGAGGCAAGGCAAGGCAACTCTGGGGCATTGTCAACTGCGCCTACTAACTCAAACATATCCGCCGGCCCCCTTGCGGGGCCATCAGGCTGCGAGGGTTAAGCTTGCTGCTCCCTGCACCAGTTCCAGTTTCCAGTTTCCATTGTTGCAATATTGCTTTCTGCTTCCTACTATAAATTGTTACTGTCCGCGCGAGGGGGGGAGCCGAAAACTACCCTGTTTAGCACCCCTCGGGAGGGTTCTCAGAATTCCTGGGCGGGTAAAAATTAAAACCCCTCACGCAGATCGGCGGGGTGAGGGTCCAACATCACAAGGGATTTCCCACATTTCTGGAATTCGGTGGCACCCCTCACGCAGATCGGCGGGGTCAGGGTGCAAAAACATACGGGATTTGCCACATTTCTGAAATTCGGTGGCACCCCTCACGCAGATCGGCGGGGTCAGGGTCCACAAACACAAAGAGTTTGCCACATTTCTGAAATTCGGTGACACCCCTCACGCAGATCGGCGGGGGCAGGGTCCAGTAACACAAAGAGTTTGCCACATTTCTGAAATTCGGTGACACCCCTCACGCAGATCGGCGGGGTCAGGGTCCAAAAACACATAGGATTTGCCGCATTTCTGAAATTCTGTGACACCCCTCACGCAGATCGGCGGGGTCAGGGTGCAAAAACACACGGGATTTGCCACATTTCTGAAATTCGGTGGCTTCTTCGAAGCAAGCATATCATTGGCCAGGCGCGCGACCTCCATCGCAGGCGAGAGGTGATGTAACAAGATGTTACGCTAGCGACCCTGGCATCGAGTGACAGCATACAGACGCGTAGGTGACCAAAGCAAGAAATGGCATGATGCACAATGCACTGAATGCTTCGCGGCTAGGCGTAGCATCGGATCGAGCTCTCCCGCTCTGCGGGCCGCTTTTCACCCTTGCACCATGTCACCCTGGCGTCACCTACAGCGCCGCCCCTGGCGCGCTCCGCGCGCCGGGGCAAGGGGTTCAGCGCCGTTTGACAAAATGGGCACAGGCCTCCGAACGTTTATGTTTATGCCGCCGCTGTCCTTCCCTCGAGGAAGGCTGTCCGGAACCCAAGGTGGTCCGTGTCTTCGAGGTGGGCTCTTGTCCATAGCCACGGACTGCGGGATCGACAGTCGGGGACCGCGGCAGGCGGTGTATATGTACATGTTTTGCCCCCCCCCCCCCCCCCCCCCCCCCCCCAGGGTCGGACATTGTCCATATCCACCGCCCGCCGAGGTCCCCAAAGATCGATCACACATAGGCAAGGGCTAAAGACAAACCCCCGCCTCAAGAGTATCTCCGCGTGCTCACTCCGAGGCGGCAGGCGCACCAGATGGAGCGCAGGCCTCCGGAAAGGCCCAGAGGGGAGCGGGGGGGGTAGGCGGGAGGAGGAGGAGGAGGAGGAGGAGGAGGAAAGGAGCACGAGGAGGAGGACGAGGTGAAAGGCAGAGACGGGAGGAGGGAGGATGGAGGTGGGTGTAGGAGAAAAGAGCAGGAGGAGGACGAGGAAGAAGGAAGAGGTGGGAGGAGGAAGGAGGGAGGAGGGAGGTGGCAGAGGAGGAGGGAATAGAAGAGAGGAGGAGGAGGAGAAGGAGGAAGAGGAGGAGGAGAAGGACGAGGAGGAGGAGGAAGAAGAGGATTGGGAGCAGAGGGATGAGGTGGGCGAGGAGGAAGGAAGAGGCGGAGGAGGAGGAGGAGAAGGAGGGGAGGGAGGAGGAGGAGGAGGAGGAGGAGGAGGAGGAGGAGGAGGAGGGGGAGGTGGAAGAAGACGAGAAGGAAGAGGCGGGAGCAGGAGGAGGGAAGAGGAGGGAGGCGGAGGGAAGGGGAGGGGGGCACGCGCGCGGCGTCCTGCGGGAGCGGCGCGCGTCCCCTCCCGAGGGGCCCACAGAGCCCCGGGGGCATCTCACAGGGCTCAGGGGCGACGCGCCGCCTCCTCCTCCTCCTCCTCCTCCTCCTCCTCCTCCTCCTCCTCCTCCCCTCCTCCTCGTCCTCCTCCTCCTCCTCCTCCTCCTCCTCCTCTCCTCCTCCTCCTCCTCCTCCTCCTCCTCTGGGACCCTCCTGGGGCGCTCCTCGGGGGACTCCCGCGCGCGGCTGCGCATCCAAACTGCAAGATGCCTCCTCGTAAGTCCACGGCGTGTGCGAGAGTGCTGGAGGCCTGGGCATTGGCACCAACACCAGCCCAGGGGGTTGCCTTCCCAGGGGGAAGAGGATCCCGGATTTCGGTGCCGGTGGCAATACATATATTTCGGCCACCCTGGAAGCCAGAATATTACCACCATCGCCGAGATCGGGATCGTCTTCCCTCGGTGGAGGCACACC